GCCCAGCTAATTTTTTGTATTTTTAGTAGAGACGGGGTTTCACCATGTTGACCAGGATGGTCTCGATCTCTTGACCTCGTGATCCACCCGCCTCGGCCTCCCAAAGTGCTGGGATTACAGGTTTGAGCCACTGCGCCCGGCCCAATTTTCTTAATGGTTTATTGTTTTTGTTTCATTAAAAGAGTCAAAGTAAATCTATTCCAAACAAAGGGCATCTCCGCCAACTTGGGGCTGATTCCCAAGGAGGACACATTGCCGACCTGGGACGTCTACTGTGATGACTCTGGAAGTTTGCCTGAGGACCATGAGCACTCTACAATCTGGCTTCAGTCTCTCATTTGGGTCTCTCTCCCTCTGTCCCCATCCAGAATGGTGGCCATACACATGTCCTCTCCTTCCTACAGAACCTTGAAAGTACCCTGGACGTTCCTGCACTGCACCTGAGTGTCTTATATAAACAAACTCTGAAATGCTCTTTCTACTCCATCCCATCCAATTCCATAAACCACGATGATCAAAATCCTGCCCATTTAAACTCACCTGTCACCTCCAAGCAGCTTTTCATACTCTCCCAGAGAGAAGTGGTCTTATTCTCTACGAATACCCTCCAACACTGTAATACTTCCGATTTTTTTTTTGAAACCGAGTTTCACTCTTGTCCAGGCTGGAGTGCAATGGTGCAATCTCAGCTGCCTGCAACCTCCACCTCCTGGGTTCAAGCAATTCTCCCACCTCAGCCTCCCAAGTAGCTGGGATTACAGGCATGCACTATCATGGCCGGCTAATTTTTTGTATTTAGTAGAGACGGGGGTTTCACCATGTTGGTCAGGCTGGTCTTGAACTCCTGATCTCATGTGATCCACCTGCCTCGGCCTCCCAAAGTGATGAGTTTACAGGCGTGAGCCACCACACCCGGCCCCTGATTGTATCTTTGAGGTTAGTATCTTTGTTATCTTCTCTGCTGAAAGGGAGATTTCCTGAGTAAGAAATTGAGAACAGTTTATCTTTGCATCCCCTATAGTGTTGCTTCTGAAACCATCTGTAGTGAGGAACCAGTTTTTTGTTTTTTTTTTTAATTTCTTTACAGTCTATAACAAACTTTTGTGAAATACAATGTAACTGAATTAGTAAAAAATGGACAAGCAATCAATGTTGTGGCAATCATCAAGCTTAGTGCTATAAATGTTTCTAAGTGATTACTCTTAATTTCTGCACTCACTCCTTGGTGGGCTAGTAACACACACTTGAGGGCTGGATTGGTCTGCGGACCACTCTGAGTAAAACTACCCAGTACAGTGGCTTTCACAGTCAAAAGCTACTGGCATAGTGGTCCCAAATGTGAGCAGGCAAAAAAAAATCACCTGGAGAGTTTGTAAACAAGACAGCTGGGGGCCGGGCGCGGTGGCTCACGCCTGTAATCCCAGCACTTTGGAAGGCTGAGGCGGGCGGATCACGAGGTCAAGAGACCGAGACCAACCTGGCCAACATGGTGAAACTCCGTCTCTACGAAAAAAAAATACACACACACACAAAAATTAGCAGGCGTGGTGGCAGGCTCCTGTGGTCCCAGCTACTCGGGAGGCCGAGGCGGAAGAATCGCTTGAACACAGGAGGCGGAGGTTGCAGTGAGCCGAGATTTCGCCACTGCACTCCAGCCTGGTGACAGTGACAGAGCAAGACTCTGTCT